CACTGATGGCTTCCCTGAGGAAGGGATACTGAGCTGAGCTCTGAGAAAAGAGAAACACTTACCAGGCAAAGGAAATAGCATGTGCAAAGGACCTAGAGCAGATGGGAACATGGCAAGTATAAGGGATGGGAAGCTGAGAGAATAAAAGCAGAACACAGTGCAAACAGAGGCTGGTGGGTAGATGGGCCGTGTAGGTCAAGAAAGAGATTTGTCTTTATCCTAAGAACAATGGGAGACAATGAAGGTGTTTAAATCAGAGCTCAAGAAAGAGATTTGTCTTTATCCTAAGAACAATGGGAGACAATGAAGGTGTTTAAATCAGGGCAAAGTAATTAGAGATTACCATTTTGAAAAGATTAACATGGCTCCAGTGTGGAGAACAGATTGGAAGAGACCAGGCTAGTTAGGAAGTGAGAGGTGTTGGAAACTTTAATAGGGTGGGGGTGGAAAAGGAGTGGACAGATTGGAGAGCTGTTTAGGGAGTAAAGCAGCTAAGACTTGGTTGTGAGTTAGATATGGGGACTGTGGGAAAAGGAAAGGTCAAGAATGACTCCTGGGCTTCTGACTTGCACAGTGGGAAATAAAGAATTCACGAGTCAGGTTTAGGGGACAAAGGATCATGAGTTTTAGTCATGTAGAGTTTAAGGTGCCTTTGAAAATATCAAGTAGATAATTGGATATATGAAGCCAGAGCTCAGAAGACAGATGAATGTGGGAGTCTTCAGCGTATTGGTTAAGTGGTCACTGAAACTGCCATCGTGGATGAGATTGCCTAGAACAGGGAGGAGAGAGTACAATGAAATGCTCAACACGGCTTCCCACAAAATCTGGTTCTTCCTCTCATATGCAGATGACCCTTCTTTCCTTGGTGTAACAAAGGTTTGACTATTACTATCATGTGGCCATTCTTTTTCTACACAGAGTCTAAATATAAATGGAGAAGACATGGGTTACAGGAGGAAAACTTTTTTCTAGCTGGGATTTTACATTCTGCTGTGGTCCAGGGAAGGAAAACAAACACTGTTCAAAAGGAATAAACATAGATTATAGAAAAGGAAGCAAGTGAATTGGTCCCTGAGGGTCTGCCACAGGGGCCATCTGCTCCTGATCAACAGTGGGAGCTCTAGTGCTCTTGAAACATGCTGATGCATTATGGGGAGGTTTTATAGCACTGTTGCTGCACAGACGTTCTTCAGGTTTTTTCTCAATTAAACAGGTCGTTTTTAATGGGGTGATACAGGCAACAACCCATCAGGTATAGCATTGTTTTTAACGATGTGTTCTCAGTTCTCAAAAGCAACTTTTAGAAAAGAGCCTGTTTATACACTGGGTATTTTTGTGGTCAGAGGTTTGTTACTTGTAGGGTGAGATTCATAAAGGATCCATGGAGCCTGCAAGAATTTAGAATCACAAAACCATGAAGGGAGTGGTCAGCAGCGTAGAATGCTCCAAAGAATTAAGACTGAGGAAGTCTGTGGTTGGCAATGTGTGGGTCAGTGATAAGGTTAGCAGTGCCTTTTCATTGGTGCCAGGATACAGGAGTGCCCAGTGGTAGTGAGGAAGCAAGATCCTTACAACTCTAAATGTGGTCCTATGACCAGCAGCAGCAGCAGCAGAAATACAGAATCTCAGCTTCTGCCCCAGATCTTACAAATCAGAACATGCATTTAAGTAAGATCCCTCAGTGATTTTTTTTTTTTTTTTTGGTGGCTGGCCAGTATCAGATCAGCACCACTCTCTAACCAACTGAGCTAATCAGCCACTCTTATAAGAAGTTTGGCAATGGTAGGTAAGAGACAGGATAAAAGCCAGAGGAGAGGGAGAGACTGGAAATGGAAATGCAAGAAAGGAAAGATCCCAAGAGGAGGAGGCTGGGATCAAGAGAACTGATTAACTTGGGAAAAGACATGGGACTCTTCCTTTGTTAAGAAAAATGGGAAAGGGGAAGAGAACAGGAAGTATGAGACCAGAGGCAGATAACTGAGAAAACGTGGGCAGATGATCCACTTCTCCCTAGTAAAACTGGTGGCCAGGTCAACCATTGAGGGGAAAGAGAAAAAGAGGTTTTAGACCAAACAATACTTTAGCAGTTTTTTTTTTTTTTTTCCCAGAAACTCCTTTCTTTCACTTGCAGGTCTCTAGTTTAAATAACATTTACTTTTGGTTAACATTTCTTTGCAATTTTTTCCTTTAAAGAGGTATGCACAAATGTATAAAAATATTAAATAATTTAATGATTTACAGTAAAACTTTAGCATTTCTGCAAATAGCTTGATGAGTGTAAATTGAGGCATGAATTTCACTAGGGCCAACATTATGTAGCTTGCTGACACTATTAAGTCAAAAAATATCAAGGTTGCAAAAATGTATAAAAATTTGAAAGAACAAAATTCTTTAATCTTTATCTACAGTTTTTATGTCTGTAAAGTTTGTTAAATCAGTAAAATGCTCTGAAAAGTTCATTTCACAGATATATTACTGATTACTTCGTTGGTTTTCTGATGACCACTTATCATGAGGTATAGAATCTTCAGAATGAATGGGCAAAATAAAATATTTGACATGCTTGCCTCTTATATAAACTAAATATTTGATTTTTAAGACACAAATGAACAAGCATCTACAGCCTGTCATGTTTTCTCAGTTTCTAATTTATTCAACCTCTGCTCAATATTGATCCTGACAAGCATAGTGGCCCAAAGATAAATTTATTCACTCCACAGTTTAGTCAGGAACAAGCCAAAAATTATAGATTTTCCCAGGCAGATGATGACAGGCAGTCAGGGGGATGACAAATGGCTGTCTTTAGATTTAGTAAGGACAGTTGGGCCAGACGTTTCCGATAAAGATTGGAACATGCTGGTCAAATACAGGTTCATCAGTGGTCATCATTAATCGTAGAGAAAGCATTGCCGTGCTGCACACGCCTATACAGGAGCTTGGGTACCAGCCCTGCAGGGGAAACAGAATTTGCTCCTTAGTATTTTGCAGCACTCCCCTAAGTGATAGCATGACATGATCATTTATCAAACAGAGACTGTCCAGAAAAGTGTCTGCTTCCTTTAGTAACTTATTGAAGGGCAGGAAAGTGAAAGCATTTTATTAAAGACAGGAAGGCAATGAGCAACCAGAGCGTATCCAAAGGGTAATCGTATTTCAGTACAAGATTAGTTTAGTCTTAAATAAACATACACTGGAGGGAGTATGTCGAGGGTCATTTATCAAGTGAGGAACAATTAGCAAAACTCTGAAGCACTCTTTTTATGTATACCAATTCAAAACTCTGAAGCACTCTTTTTATGTTCTCTTATTGTTATTGTTACTTAACTTTTGGATGATGGGCATCGTATTCAACACTGTACGAAAATGCAATGCACAATCGCTTCCTTTGAGATTTCTAGAGTAAAAGAAATAGTGTAACTCACATAAAATAAGATAGATAATTATGACTGTATTAAATGCTGTTGAACAAATGCTGTGGAGAGGGCATACTCCAGGCCCAGCACTGAGTGCTGAAGTTGTAATTTATGAAGAGAGCTTTCTTATAAGAAGTTAACTACTTGTTTGTCAGAAGGTCAGAAGTTTCTTCTTCCTTGCTTACAACAATTTTTGCTTTCTATTAACCAAAATTAAGAGAAAGGGAATTAGCAGAAGGGTTGCAGCACAGGTAAAAAGGCAAAGAACTAATATATTTATTACTTGCTTTGTTCCAGATACTTTATGTGTCCTGGCAACTAATCCTATGAGACTTGCCTAAGGTCACACAGTAAGCAGCAGTGCCAGGAAGTTTAGGATTGCCTTAAAAAAAAATTCTTATATTTTCACATAAATTATTTATTTGGTCACTCATAGTCTAGCAGACACTAAATTCTAGACCTATATACACACACACAAAGGAAATAAAATCACTATTTTGAAGCAATATCTGCACTCCCATGTTCATTGCAGCATTATTCACAATAGCCAAGTTATGGAAACAACCTAAGTGTATTACCTTTTTGAGTAAATTTGTTAGATTAAACTTACCTGATTTTTAAAATAAAAAATAGAACTTTGGGGGCATATATAAGAAAAACTCAAAGTATGTTTCATTTTCTTTAAATAGTAGGTTAAGACAAAATATATTTTTTAAAAAAGAGGAAGGGGAGAAAGCAAGAAAAGGAATGACAGAAAGACAAGCAATTGGGGAGAGAGATGGGAAAAGAAACCCAAATCAGAAGCAAGAAGAGGTGAAGAATGCAAACTGAGAGAGGTGGTTCTTAAGTGCCCTTAATCTGTTTTCCTCACATTCATTTGGGTTGTAGACCATAATTAAATTATTACTTCATTATTCCTTGAAATGTCAATTAGCTGATTTTCTTGTAAGCCACAAAAGCATGCAAATGTTCGATATAATGTAAAACAAAATTGTACCCACAGTATAATGACAAAAAAGAAGTCCCTATGCTCAAAAAAGACAACTAGCTGGATATATGCATATAACAACACATTAAAAACGCTCTTTGGGTGATAAGCATGCAAGTGATTTTTTTCCTCCTATTTTCCCCTTTGGTAGATTTTGGGGGCAGATTTGATGAATATACATTATTTATAAAATAAAAAGCAACAAAATACATTGCTTGCAGTGCCAATGGACTGCTCGCTTACTACTACTTAATTGCCTTAATCTGTAAACTTCTGTAAGCTCCATTAAGAATAGCGTAATCTCCTGCAGCAAAAAGTGTTTTCTGAGCTGCAGGCTGGGTCCATTTAAGAGATCATGACAGAGAACAATTCTGTGGCCCCAAACTCAGAACCTCACTTTTTGACTCATCTTTGGTCCCTTCTATTGTCAGTATAGACCATTTTACTTACAAATTAGTTATTATTCATCTTCTAAGTACCTGACACTGAGCTAGAATTCCCTGAAAGTAATTACCTTTAAAAACAGTTAACTGACATACTAGAAGTACTGATAATTACAGAATACTTGTATCTTGCTTTTTCTTCTCTAATTATAGGATCTGGAATATTTACTGAACAAGTTGATGAAGCTGTGGAAAATGGATCTAAATGGAAATCCTGTTTGTCTTAAACCAAAATACAGGGACAGACTGATATTGGTGTCCAAATCGCTGGGTACACATTTATATAAATATATTTTTCTTAGAGAAAGATACCTGGTTAACTTTTTAGTTAATTTATCAGCAAGCTTTCAGAAATATAAATATGACATAAGGATCTATGAAAATGGTCAAGTTTAAATTAGATATTTTGAGTAAGAACAAAAGTCAAAGTTGAGAAACAAAGCATGAGTCTACGGCCATACCACCCTGAACGTGCCCAATCTCGTCTGAGAAACAAAGCATGAGTCTACGGCCATACCACCCTGAACGTGCCCAATCTCGTCTGAGAAACAAAGCATGAAAAATACCTGCTATTCAGAAATAAAGCAACAGATACTCTTTTTTTAGGGGAAAACGTGGCTATTACCAACAAAAATTAGTCATTAATGTGTAGAACTTGTTGACCTTTTGCCAAACTTTCACTGGTGCAAATGTTTTGATGATCCCAAGAGACTACATTCTTTAATATGCACTATATTAGGGAAAAAGGACAAAAGCATTTGGTCAGTAGCAACCAAGTTACACAGAATCAGAGAGATAAACAGTGCCCTCTCAGGAAGGAGACCCACTGAGTGAGCTTTCTGTACCAGGACTTCTGTGACGTGCTATGCTTGGGTATAAAAACTATCCTATGACAAAACCACTTCAAAGCTCATAGCTGTAGTAAACCTTGATTAATCATAATGCTAGTGCAGTGGTTCTTTGGGGGAGGGAAGGATATCAAAAAAATACAAGATGATTTTTCAAAATAAATATGCAAGGGCCATACCCTCCCTGCTTACAAGGGTAGGGAACAGAGAATACACAAGTAGAACAGTCATGTATATTTTTTAAAAGCTCTACAGATGATTCTGCTATGCCACCCCTTCCACAGCCTCTCATCCCCTATCCTCTCTGCCCACCACACACAATTGTATTAGTCTGCTTTACTTAGCAAGCAGAATAAAATGAATACAATTAATGTTTGGTGATTATGAACGTCCCAATGTTCGTGGGATCATTTCTGGAAACATTTTTCATTATATTATATAGTCCTATAGGTGAGATTATAAAAGATGTGAAGATAAGTATATGCATTTCAAAGTAGAGGATTTATTCAAAGTTTGTTTTGAATAAATCTTTTCTATAACATTTTATGATTACAAAATCAATACTTTTTTTTTTTGCTTTTTTTGGTGGTTGGCTGGTGTGGGGATCAGAACCCTTAACTATAGTGTTATAATTCCACACTCCAACCCGCTGCTAACTGGCCAGCCCTTTTGCAAAAAATATAAAAAATAAAATAATCCCATCATAAATCTAGTGTTATAATTCCACACTCCAACCCGCTGCTAACTGGCCAGCCCTTTTGCAAAAAATATAAAAAATAAAATATCCTTCATAATCCCATCATAAATCTTCTGTTAACACTTTAGTATATATCCTTCCAGTCTTTTTTCTATGCACATACTACAAATTCTTTCTGATTTTAGCTTGCTTTATTCTCATCTATTTCTTTTTCCTAAATGTAAAAACAAAAAACACAAAGTTAATTGAGGACCTGGTTTGATGTGTCCCAGTAAGGACTATGGGGAACTATTTTATGTTTAATACGTTACCCAGTTCTCACCAAACTGAATGTCCACCCACATATTTGGTTTACTTAGTAAGAGTTGAAGCAAATTTGTGTTGAGAGCAACTCATTAAAATGAAATAAATCTCACAGGTCTCTGATGAGACCTATGTGTCCATCACCTGCTTTTCCCTCCTAAACCACTTCCACACATAATAACTTCAAATAAGATCATATGCTAAAAATGAGATGGAATCAGGTTAACTGAGGCACAGTCTCCCCGTCATTCTTCAGCTCTATCTGGGACATTAACATGAGGAAGAAGAGATTATGGTAAAAGACTTGGATTTTTCATTCCTTACCTTTATAATAGATGTTTTAAAAACATGTGTTCATTATGTATACCCTATCCAAAAATATACTAACAAATTATGTAATTATTGATCACAGATCTGGAAAGCGATCAATAAATACAAGTGGTTGAGAAAACTGAGCATAAAAGAATGGCCTTTGATGTAAGGTTAGAAGTACTAAGATGTTTGATAATAAAACATTTAGCTAACTTCTTAAATTATAGTTGGGAAAGTGCTATTTATTATTCAGCTAAAAAAATATATATGAGATAAGATATGGAGACAATTATACTTCTAGAATTTATGGTTCTAATTTATATTTCCAGTTTCAGTTTCATTGCTTTATTTTGTACTTTTGGTATAATACAATATTATGGATCATATTTAAGTGGCAGTGTTTATACTTTCAGTAGTACAACTGAAATATTATATAACTATACAGAATATTGTCATTTTTTCCTGAAAGAATATGATCTAATAGATTTTTACTACATCCTTTCTACATTCTGGTATCCAGTAGAAGGCAATATATGGATGAGAGAAAATATTTATTTTAATTTAAAAAACTCTTACACAGAAACTGTGTTAGAAGAGATTGTCTTTTATTAAACGAAGACCATCTGTATTCATATGATTAAAAAGGTAACATAAGTAATATAAAATGTCCTGTAATAAGGGAATTATTCAATATTTTATAGTATCTCCATATACAATAGAACACTATCATCCACTAAAAATTGTGTTTAAAGAAAGACCTGGTAAAATGCTCATAACACAATATTAAAAAGCAGAGGTAAAATTATATAGAGAATTCCAATTTTATATAACACATACATATATATACATACATAGAAAAAAATGCTAAGAAATATACTAAGTGTTATCAATGGTTTTCAGTGATTATTTCTTGTTATGGAATAAAGCAATTTTAATTTCTTTTGAAATTTTTTTGTATCTTTCAGATATCTTACAACATACAAATATTATTTCCATGATTTAATAAGTTCAATTTTAAAAACTTTTTGAAAGAGACAAAATATAAAGGTAGCTGAAATCTCACTTCATAGAACCAGAAGCCCTGCTCTGTAGGTTGCTCCTATTATAACCTATGTCCTAGAATGTAATAAGCATTATTAATATTGTATGTGCTTTAAAAACATCGTGTTAGATATAAAACTTGTCATTCACTTTATTAAAAAATGCATTTTCCTTTGTCCTAATAATAATAATAATAATAATAATATTTAAATTAATAGATAGTATGATTTAATTTTTATTGAGTATAAACATTTTTAGTTTTAAAAATTATAGTTTACATATAACCCTAGAAGGAGGACCATATACCAAATTGTTTTCACTGATTACCTTTGGCAGTGATAAGAAGGAGGGGTATGGATAATAAGTACAGAGACTTTTTATGTTTTTTTTTTAATCATGTTGCAGTTACGTAATCTTTTTGAAATCAGAAAAAAATCTAAAAATAAATAGAAGCTCAACAAATACACTGAACTTATGTAAATAAGTCATTTTTAAAAGAAACTTATTTCAGCCTATGGTGTAACTTAAGTTTGAAGGAGGGGTATGGATAATAAGTACAGAGACTTTTTATGTTTTTTTTTTAATCATGTTGCATTTACGTAATCTTTTTGAAATCAGAAAAAAATCTAAAAATAAATAGAAGCTCAACAAATACATTGAACTTATGTAAATAAGTCATTTTTAAAAGAAACTTATTTCAGCCTATGGTGTAACTTAAGTTCATATGAACTTAACCAGATGTGTATATTTTTTACTTATGTATTTATATGTATATATATATTTTAAAACATGTATTTTTCTCCAGAATTTCTTGACGGAAAAGAAATTAAAAGTATAGAAAGACAATTCCTAATGAATTGGAAAGCATCCAAAGATGCCAAGAAAATCAGCAAGAAAAGGAGCAATAAAAACGAGGATGAAAACAACTTGTACATAAGTAAGCAAGCTGGCCACATGTGCTAACAAAGAATATTCTAACCAATAAAAAATGCCAAGAAAGAAGGGGTTTTTTGTTTGTATTTTTAATATTTTTTTAAACTTATTTACTTAGCTGTGCATAAAGATAAATAAAATTACTAGGAAATTTTACCTATAATGTTTATATATGAAAATGGTAGCCACTATGAACAAAACTTGTATTTGGTTCATATTGGATATGACTGTCAGTTATGTAAACATAGAGCCAGGTGGGTGGGGGAACTGCATAATTTTATATCTGGCAAAAGAGCATGATATCAGTTATGCAAATAGTGAAACAACAATCAACTATGTAAACTGTGAAATCTAAATCACTAATGTATTTGTTTAGCGACTGTGCAAAAATCACATTTTTCATCAGAATAGAAAAATAAAAATTTTTCACAACTATATCTGTGGCCTGTCCTCTGTGGCCTGTCCCCCTTCTTAAGCACACACCCCAACACCTGAATAGTTGGATTATAATATGCCAAAGGTTGTATTACAAAGGACACATCAACTTCCCTTGCCTAACTAATGCAACTAAATGTAATGAAGTGTAATGTGTAACAGTTATCTTCATCATATTAGGGAGCATCCTAGAATTGACTCTTCAGATTCTGTAGTCCTCAACTTTGGAAGGAGCCCCTTCCTCCTTTCCATGTGTTTGAATGCTAATGTTCTTGTTCCACAGCTATCTACAGGAAGGGATGGGGTCATAGCAAAGGAATTAGGCCAGGAGAATAGGAAAAAAGAAACTGGAACAGTGTGATGAGGCTTTATGCATGTATAGCATATTCTAGGAGCTCTGCCACTCTAGGACAAGGAGGTTGAAGTAAGGAGGAGCAGGGGTGGAGAGGCATCGAACTCTGGTCATGTCCATTGAATATGAACTGTAGAAAATCATTTAATAGAATGAGACTTTCTTAGCTGACAGTATACCCATGAGTGTGTGTTGGCAATGTGAATTTCTCAAGGTCTCCTCTGTTTATACCTGGCTGGCTGTGAAGGGTAAAGATCATGGGTAAAGATTCCAGTATTTTACATATTTTTCATATTTTTAGTAATTCACCAAAGATGCCAAAGCACCTTATTAATATCAAAGTCCTCAGAGAATTCAACAACAGTCCTCACCCAAGAATTTGAGCTTATTCTAAAAATAATGTAGTTTCCTTCATCTTAATAGATTTCAAAATTTCTTCCCAATTCAGGGACAATTACTTTAACTAATTTTTAACTTCTCCAATAAAGTTTGACAAAATAATAAATATAACGTGTCTTAAAGTATACAATTTTCAAAAATCAGAGTTACTTAATTTTCTCAATGCAATTGTTATTAGTCTCTTTATAATCCAGTATGACCCCAAACAAATTAACAAAAACAATCATCAAAGTCATTTAGGTAAACTAACATTAGGTAAACTAAATCTACCTGAAAAGGACGTTAGGAAAACAATTCCACTTACAATAGCACCAAAAAGAATAAAATACCCAGGAATAAACTTAACTAAGGAAGTGAAAGACTTTTATAATGAAAATTACAAAACACTGATGAAAGGAACAAGAGGCAAATGAAAAGACATCCCATGTTCATAAATTGGAAGGCTTAATATTGTTAAAATATCCATACATCCAAAGCAATCTATAGATTCAAGGGAATCCCTGTCAAAATCCCAAGAACTTTTTTACAGAAATAGAAAAAAAAAATTCTAAGGGCCGGCCTGGTGGCGCACTTGGTTGAGTGCGGGGCTTGGGAGCGTGGCGGCACTCCCGCCAAGGGTTCGGATCCCATATAGAGACTGGTCCGCTCACTGGCTGAGCGTGGTGCGGGTGCAGCACTAAGGGTTGCAATCCCGTTACCGGTCAGTAAAAAAGACAAAAAGGAAAAAAAAAAAAACCTACACTAATCAAAACAGTATGGTACTGGCATAAGACAGACACATGGAGCAATGGAACATAATAGAGAGCCCAGAAATAAATCCACCTGTATATAGTCAACTGATCTTTAATAAGGGTGCTAAGCATACACAACAGGGAAATGATAATCTCTTCAACCAGTGGTGATGGAAAAACTAAATATCCATATGCAAAAGAATGAAATTGAATCCTTATCTTACACTATACACAAAAATCAATCCAAAATGAATTAAAGGCTGGCCATTTAGCTCAGATGGTCAGACTACGGCCTTGTAACACCAACGTTAAGGTTTCAGCTCCCCATACCGACCAGCCACCACAAAAAAAAAAAAAAAAAAAAAAAAGACTAAAGACTTAAGCATAAGATCTGAAACTTTAAAACTCCAAGAAGAAAACATAGGGCAAAAGCTCCATGACATTGGTCTTGGCAATGATTTCACGGATATGACACCAAAAGCAGAAGCAACAAAAGAAAAATAAACAAGCGGAACTACATCAAACTAAAAAATTTCTGGACAGCAAAAGAAACAACAGAGTGAAAGGCAACCTATGGAATAAGAGAAAATATTTGCAAACCATATATCTAGATAGGAGTTAATCTCAAAAATATATAAAGAACACCTACAGCTCAACAGCCAAAAAAAGCTAATAACCTTAATAAAAAATGGGCTAAGAACTTGAATAGACATCTCTCCAAAGACGACAGACCAATGGGAACAGACATATAAAAATTGCTCAATGTCATTAATTGTCAGGGAAATACAAATCAAAACCACAATGAGCTCACAGCTCTCAGGATGCTATTATCAAAAAGAAAAAAGAAAAAAAAGAAAAAAAGACATCAAGTGTTAGAGAGGATATGAAGAAATTAGAACTCTTGTACACCATTAGTGGGAATGCAAAATATTGCAGCCACTATGGAAAACAGTATGGTGGCTCCTCAAAAAATTAAAAATAGGACTAGTACATGATCCAACCATCCCACTCCTAGGTATTTAGTCAAAAGAATTGAAATCAGGATTTCCAAGAGACATTAGCATTTTTATGTTCATTGCAGCACTAGTCACAATGGCCCAGATGTGGAAACAACTTCAATGTCCATAGACATATGAATGGACAGAGAAAATGTAGTATATACGTAAAATGGAACAAGGAACACTATTCAGCCTTTAAAAAAAGGAAATTCTGCAATATGTGACAACACGGATGAACCTTGAGGATATCATGCTAAGTGAAATAAGCCAGTCACAGAAGACAAATACTGCATTGATTCCACCTATATAAGATATCTAAAATAGTCCAATTCATTGCATTGAAGAATGGAATGCTAGTTGCCAGCAGCTGTGGGGAGAAAACGGGGAGTTACTATTCAATGGTCATAAAGTTTCAGTCAAGCAAGATGAATTAGATCTAGAGATCTGCTGTATAACATTATACCTAAAGTCAACAATAATGTATTTCACTTTAAAATGTGTTAAGGGGATAGATCTCATGCTAACTGTTATTGCCACAATAATAAAAAAGAAAAAGCCATATAGAATGTTATAGAATAGAAGCTTCATTTCATATCCTGTTGTAGTTGCTGTTATGACAATCACTAATAATTTTAAATGCAAAACACTATGGTCTAGGAGGCAAAGAAGAGGTGGCAAGGGGGAAAAAAAAGAGCCAACACTTACTATGCTAAACATTTCAGATATTTGTACACATTATTGCATGTAATCATCACAACCTGTAGGGCAGATTTTTATTCATTTTGCAGATGAGAATGCTAAGTTTCAGAAAGGTGAAGTAACTTATCTAAGGTCACAAAGCTAGCAGGGGTCACAGTCATTAATCAAAGTTATCTAACTTCATGAAATAGCTTTGGCTGATAGTGACCTCTCTAGCACTGACTGGCTGAACTGTGCTGAGATATAAGGATGATAATGGCTGCTCTAATTGGAAATTCACTTCAGTTTGGTGGGAATTTAGGAAAATTTGCAGATATGCAAATATGTGATATGTAAACAAACTGTTTTATAAATAAAAAGGAACTAGGAGAATTTCAATTATGGAAGAACTTCAAAAATTTTAAAGGAGTATTCAATTAGATTATATGATTTTACTATATTGAAAAATGAACTCTAAGATCAATTAAATTAAAATGAAATTTAAAGTGGAGGCTGACTTGCTGCAATAGGAAATTATCTGAGCTTTTCTCATAAGTACTTAGTTATTCTGCCCCTGGCAAGTTGTAGATCCCCTTCCCCCTCGACTCCTGCACATTTGCCATCCCATTCAAACAGATGGTACAAATCTGAGCCTCTCAGGCTTAAAACTAGTGACACCCTGGATACACGTATTTAATATGCAAAAACTCCATCCTTATATATGTGCCCAATAGCATACTGTGTGGTCTTTACGCAAAGACTCATATCACTGGTCATAAGAAAAACATTAATTAAAATATATTAAATATATTATGTATTTTTAACATCTATCATATCAGGTGGGTTTGTCATGAAATTCTCTTTGCGGTGTCCAATCAAGGGATGGACATAGCATTTCCTAGCAAAACCCACCCGAAGAAGCTCCATAGACAACACTGCTGCACTATCCTACCCCAGTTCCCTCCAGAGTGGTTCAGCCTTGCGGGGAAGAGAGGGTCTGTGAGTCCAGAAAACGCTTTATTTGGAGAGAGGAGAAAGGATATGTAGGGAGTCCTAGTTTTGGCCTTGCCCCTTCTCCATTCACAATAAAACAAGAGCTGTGTGAGAAGTTGCTGCTTATGTCCACTGTCATTACCATCAAAACCATAGCCAGCTTGTCCATAGCACCCCAATAGTTTCTTAAAGATTTACACAACTCTAGGCCGGCCCCATGGCTCACTTGGGAGAGCGTGGTGCTGATAACATCAAGGCCATGGGTTCGGATCCTATATAGGGATGGCCGGTGCGCTCACTGGCTGAGCGTGGTGCAGACCACACCATGCCAATGGTTGCGATCCCCTTACCAGTCAAAAAAAAAAAAAGGTTTACACAACTCTTCCAACACATGAACTCGGGGGTTGGGAGGGGGGAGATTTACATAACTGGTATCAATTCCATAACAACGTTCTTGAGTTTTGTTTCTTTGACAAACATTTTGAAAAGTCTTGCAAACATTTTGAAAAGTCTTGCTAGTATATGAGGGTACTTCAAAAGTTCATGGAAAGATTCATATTATCTTTTAATTCTATTTTTTACACAAACGTTTTGAAGTACCCTCATATTATCAAGGTAGAAAATAAAAAAAAATAAAAATGTACACAGTCTCAGAAAACAATGCGAGTGAATTCTATACATTGCCAGACACCACACTAAGTAAGATTAGTGGTGAGCTATACACATATCACATATTCTATGGCCCCAGCAAAGCTCAAATCACTAGGAGTGCACAGATGAAATAGCAAATAAATCACTCTACCTTCACTTTCCT